TCCCGACTCTCTCTCTCTGGCCCTCCCTCCTCTTCTCTCTCCCTCCCCCACTGCCTCCCTGACTCTCCTCCCCTCCCCTCCCCTCCTCCTCGCTCCCCCATTCCCCCTCCACCCCTCTCCCTCCCCCTCCCTCCCACCCCTCTCCTTCTCCCTCCTGCTCTCCCCTCCCCTCTCCCTCTCCCTCGCCTTCCCCCTCGCTCCCTGCACTGGTGATGCTGTGCTGACCGCCTTGTGCATGTGCACCTTTGTGGTGTTGGGGTGAAGGTCAGTGCACAGGTAGCTTTGCCAGGCCCTGCCAGGCCCCTCCAGGATTGGTGTGAGCTGGCGTGCCCCAGTAGTGGAGGAGAGGACCCCCAGCTTCACCAACTGAATGTCCATCATAGTTCTTGGCGTCCCAGATGGATGGGTGATGTGGGGACTGTGCTGTGGGTGCTTGAGAACAAGGCACACTCCTGGGATAGAGTGGAGAGTGAGACAGGTTCCCATCAGGTGCCTGTTGCCTGGCGGATGCACGGGCTCCTGCGCCTGCCGGGCGTGTGTCGCTGCTGTGACGGGCGCGGTCCTCTCTGCCTCACTCCTCCTGCGGCAGCTCTGTGGCCTGCCCCTCGTGTTGTATCTTCCTTGAGCATCGTGATGCTCAGCGTCCAGGGCTAGAGGCTCCTGCCCTCAGTCGGGACCTTCAGCCCAGGGACCCTCAGCCCGGAGCCCCCAGCCCAGAGCCGCCATCCTCCTTGGTCTCAGCCTTTCTGACTCCCAAGTGCAAGGGTCTCATGCAGCCCATGGTTGGGTCTCGTTTTATGAGCCAAGTTGAAAATAGCTAAGTTAAGCCCATTCACCTTTACTGATATGACCGACATCTGATCTTGAGTTTGTCATAATGTTTTATGAATTATATGTGGTTTTTTTTCAAATCCTCACCTGAGGATATTTTTCCATTTATCTACAGACAGAATGGGAGAGAGAGAGAGAAACATTGATGCGAGAGAGATGTATTGATTGGTTGCCTCCTGCACAACCCTGACCAGGGCCAGGGACTAACTGCAACTGAGGTACGTGCCCTTGACTGGAATCGAACCCGTGACACTTTGGTCCGCGGGCCGACACTCTAACCATTGAGCCAAACCGGCCAGGGCTGTAATCGTATGTATTTTTATATCTGCTGTATTTCCCTGGGAGATGTGTCCTTTGCTCTTGAATAAACGTCTCGTTGGCCTCCCCACGGTCCGTGACGTGCCCTAGAGATGACTCCTGCACATGGGCGTTTCTCAAGCGTTTCGTCCTGGGTGTTCCCGTCACTGTGCGCTCAGCTTCCTGGTTCCCGATCTTCAGCCTCAGCAGTGGCCGTGGGGCCGGTGGGCCCGCTCTCTGCCCTCCCCTCCCTTCCCCGTGTCGCGCAGGCCCCTGCTGCCTCGCTGCCCACCTGCGGGCTCGGCGCTCACTTCTGCCTCCCGAGCTGGGCATCGGGCACGGCTGCACCGCACCGCCCCGTGGCAGGGCCTTCCCGTGGCCTCGGGCGCAGCCCTGCGTCTGTAGGTTGAAGCGGTGGCTCTGTCCTGAGCCGGAGGACAGCCCGCTGGGGGAGGTGCTGGCGGCTGCCGGCTTCCTGTGTCTTGGTGACAAAGAAGCCTGGCGCAGGGCTGCGCTGGTCCTCGCGGCCGCCTGTCCCGAGGCCCGGTGTCCACGGTCAGTGTCCCAGGGCCCTGTCCAGAAAGCGTGTGCATTCTGTCTGTGGTCTGTTTCTGGAAGGCGCCTGGCTTGTAGTTTCAGTTCTGACCTGTTCGTCCTCTTCTTCAGGGCCGGTGCGTCCTGCCCCCGTGTCCAGCGCCCTGTCCGCCGGCGTTCGCTCCTTCCCCACCCGCTGGCCTGCAGCTCTGAGCGCGCTCTGCTGGGCGCCTCGAGGGACCTGACGCATTTCTGAGATGCTTCTGTGTTTTCGTTTTTGCTTGTGTCCAATCACTCTCATTTCCTTCTGTTTTTCAATTTACTGCTTTTGTAATTTTTGAGTTTTTGGTTCAAGGAAATTCTCCTGTTCTCAAATGCTTACGTTGCTTTTTGGTGGTTGTTGAATGTGTCCTCGTACAGTTTCCTCGCTGTTCCAGACGGAGTTGGCCTCTGATGGTGTGGAGTCCGTGTTCTGATTTTCCCAGCGCTGCGCTGGGCTCCGTCCTGGTGTTTCCAGGACGGCTGGGCTGACGGCGCCCTCTTCTGGCAGCACTGCGAAGTCCGCGGAGCCTGGCAGGGTTTTTGGTTCGGTTTGGCTGTGGGAAGGGGTGGTCGAATGTCCTGTCGGTGACATCTTTGCTTGCAGGACCTTGACCTGTGTCCAGTCCCCCGTTTCCAGGCCCCTCACTCTTTTTTTTTTTTTTAATTTTTTTTTTTCCTCACCCGAGGATATTTTTCCATTTTTTATTCAGATAGAGTGGGAGGGAGAGACAGAAACATCGACGTGAAGGGACACACCGAGTGGCTGCCACCCGCACGAACAACCAGGGCCGGGGACAAACTGCAACTGAAGTACATGCCCTTAGCGGGAACCGAACCCGGGTCTCTCCAGACCGCAGGCCGATGCTCTAACCGCTGAGCCAAACCGGCCAGGGCCAGGCCCCTCACTCTTGCACAGTCGAGGCACGTCCAAGATCACTGCGTCGGCCGCAGCGCCTGCAGGGCAGCAGAGCTGCCCCCCTTGGGCTCTGTTATCCTGGGTCCTTTGGCTGCGGAGGGCGGGGCTGTCCAGCTGCGCTGGGCCCCCCCTCCAGAGCCGGACAGCGAGACAGTGAGCACCTGCCCTCCGCCTTGGGGAGAGATGGGAAATAACACTGCCCGTGTCATTAGAAGAAGTCTGCGCATCAAGTAGGATATCTGAGCACAGGGCCTTCCTGAAAGTCCGTAGAGGCGTGGATGCTGGTTTCCGTGGCGTTGGCCTTCAGAGCCAGGCCCAAAGGAGCTGGGAGGCGCCCGCCGTCCTCACAAGCCCTGTGGACACTTGCTATCAGGATTTTTTATAACAGTTTTGATTTCTAAAACATTGCATGAAGATATTTCTTTTTAAAAAAGAAATATACTTGACTTAGCTTTTTTTTTAAAATAGGTTTTTATTGATTTTTTAGGGAGAGGAAGAGAGGGAGAGAGAAAAATTGATGAGGGAGAGAAACACTGATCGGCTGCCTCCTGTACGCCCCCTCCTGGGGATCAAGCCCACAACCCCGACATGTGCCCTGACCGGGAGTCGAACCAAGACCTCTCAGTCACGGGACATGCTCCCTCCACGGAGCCAGACGGCGGGCTCGACTTCCAGACGTAGGGTAGTCTCAGGCATGCGCAGTGGCTGCTCTCCACGTGTGTGACCGGGCTCCCGCGACGACGGTCTCGTCGCCCCTGGCACCGCGCAGGTCCCACAGCGCTGACGGCATCTCTGTGCTGCTCGGGACGCCCCTGTGACCTGCTCGTCTGTAGCAGGAAGTTCGCACCCCCGTGGCCTCACAGGCCTCGCCTTCCCCAGCCCTCGGGCACCACCAGCTCGGCCTGTGTCCAGGACAGAGTTCGCTTGTTCTGTGCGTCTGAAGACACTGTGCGTCTTGATTCCTGACTCCACGCCCCTCAGGTTCAGGCCTCAGCCAGCGCCTCGGCCTCCGCCCGGCCGGAGCTGCCTTCCCGGAGCGCAGGCAGGGCGGGCGCAGTGTGGGCGGCACGCGGCCGCGGCGTGGGCGGTGTCTGCTGCTCTGCGCGCCCGGCTCCTGCCTCCTGCGCGCTCGGGAGGTGGCCGCGTGGGTGCGCAGGTGCGGCACGCCCGGCGGGCCTTCCCAGCTTTCCTGCCCCAGACGGCGGCGTCTGCTCGGCCGCCTGCCCCGAGGGCGGCGTGTCCTCCGAGCTGCGAGGTGTCGAGGTGTCGGCGGCCTTCCAGGGCCCCCGGCTCGGCCGCCCCACTGGGCTGCTGTGGGGGCGCGGAGAGCCGCCCAGAAAGCCTGACGGTTCTTTCGGACAGGAAAAGGCAGTCACAGGAGGGCCGTGGGGTAGGGCTGTGGGGGCCCCGGCGGTGCACAGAGCATGTAATTTACTGTGGAAGGAGTTCCTGAGAGCCGGGGCGGCCAGGGCCCCGGACGGCTCGGGGAGGGGAGCGTCACGGCCTCGCCTGCCACCTGCTGGCCGCGCGCAGCACTGCGGCTCGCCCCTCCACTCCCGCCTTAGCCTGGAGAGAACGCTGTAGAAATCAGTCCCACCTGGTTTTGCACTTGAAATACACACGCGCAACTTTAACCATCAGACACAGACGCTTAGTTTTCACTCCAATTGGAGACACGAGAGCCATCCCGTGGGAGTTGTGTGGTTTGGAGACCCGGACGAGCTGAGACCAGGATGCGGCCGTGGAGGGACGTGGGAGATGCTTCCAGGAGAAGCCCAGACTCGTCTCTGCAAGTGCCAAAGTCTCAGACCCAGCACTGGTGCCTGAGGTGCAGGCGCCTCCCGCTCTGACCAGCAGGGAGCCCCCTCGTGTCCACGAAAAGCTGTGGCTTAGCCAGCTGACCACCAGCCTATCCGGTTCTGGAATTCAGACCTCGTGGCTTTGGGAATGTGCCTTTGTCAGTGAAGTGGGGATGACACACTGGCCCCCAGCATCGGCCCCCCTGAGCTCCAGACAAGTTGGGGTTGGGGACCCTGGCTGCATGTCCAGGAGCCGCTCTGGCATCCCCTCAGGCAGCCCCCTCTCCCCTCCTCGGGCAGCAGGGGCCTCAGTCTGAGCTCTGGGCTCAGTGCTCCGGAGCGCGTGCCCGGGAGCACGGCCCTGCCTCGCCCTCCCTGTGGGGACTCGGAAAGCTCTTCAGCCCAGGGCCTGTGCCCACCTGCTTTCCTCCACAGTCGGGGCAACTTGGGGCACCACGGGAGATTCGGGGGCCCCAGGCATGACTTCCTGGGGCTCTCACCTGGCCCCACCCTCTCTTCCACCCCGAGTCCTGCTCACCTCTGCGCGCCACTAACTCGGCTGTCTTCTCCTTTGTCACCAGGGGTCGGGCCCCGGCTCTGCGGTCCCAGGCAGCTCCGGCGTGGGAGCCCCCAGACAGTTCGCACGGCAAAGGATCACACGGGTCAACCTCAGGGACCTCATATTTTGTTTAGAAAATGAACGCGAGACAAGCCATTCACTGTTGCTCTACAAAGCGTTCCTCAAGTAGCACAGGATGGGTGGCATCTCGTGGAGACGCCTGGGGACATTTTTATATATTTGCAGATCACGCCTTTTTGTACCAAGCAAATGGGATATTGTTTGAAAAACAGCCACCTCTTTGCAATGGAACTGTTTTATATTCCTGTTTCTAAGTCAGCTCTTCAGTCCGGAAGAAAACAAGTTTCTGTAACAGAGAAAACAGAGGCCCATGGGCACTCTGAATGGACAATTAAATCTTAACTCATCTTTGATTGAGTGGCCTTCTTGCCAAACAAGCCATATATTAAAAAAACTGACGGAATCGTTTAGCAAATAATTAGCTGCCCTCTGTCACCTCCTAGCGGTTTTTACATTATTTGTGCATCTGGTTTTAGTTCCACCCACTCACTGCGTAGGTGTGTCTGCGAGCCAATGACCTCATTTCACTTATTTTATTTTTGCATCAGTCAGTTGGCAAAGCAAACTGATTTTTAGACCATATACCCCCAGCCCCTTGCCCGGCACTTGGGGTGGTCACTGTCCTGCCTCTCGGGCCGGCCCTGGCGGCTCCTGAATGTGTGGTCGGCATCTGTACAAATGCATTTTATTTGCTATAGTTTGTAAAGCTGTAAAGTTAAAGAAATGAAAACCTTTTCAGCATAAATATATTTTACTTGCACTGTGTTTTTTAGCTAAAAGTGAAAACTTAGATGAAATAAAATCAAAGTTGAGAAGAATCATCAAAAGACTGTTTCTCAGTGTGAATCAAGTGTTGAAAAATGGTCGGTGTATTTTGTCAGTAATTGTACATAACTTTGGCACATAACATAAAAACCTATGTAAACTATAATTATTTTGCTAAGAGACTGTATGCGGCTGTGGGCCACTTTACAGATGTCCAGAGCAAGCCCTTCTTTGTACCTATTTTTTTATTACAAATATACTAATTGGTTCTTTATATTTTCAGAGGTTATTGTATTAAATTGCCTATTGATAGTACTTTTATGACTGTAAATACTTGGGCTTTCTCCGTGGGACCCTCACGGCAGACTTTCATCCGCACGAGGGAGCTGAACGAGCAGTATTTTTTACCGGCCCTGAGACCTGTTACACTTACTTTGTCTTTTAGGAAATCCCCGTCTTTCCATTTTTTCATGTAAATTTTGCACAGTTACTTGTTCATATGTAAATATTTTACTTTCAGAAAATGAAGTTTTTAATTGCTATTGTTTTATATAGGGTTGAAAGAAAATTAACTCCTTTATTAAAAACAAATTTATCTGTATCTGTTTTGCCTATTTTTCCCAGTTTCACTTTTAGATTCTGCGGCCAGAGACCCAACCCCGGTTCTGCTCAGGTGCTGATTTAGGGGCTGCTTGTTAGAATCAGTCCCTGAAACCCAGTGACCTTGGTAGCAGCGGCCTCACCTGCACGGACAGGGCGGCCGGCTGCCCAGTAAGGCCTGGTGTGCGGCAGGACGGGCCAGCGCTGTCTGGGTCACCCCACCGGACACGGCCGGACCTGTGCTGTGTGGACACTGGGGCCCCTGTCTGTGCAGACAGCTGGGGCACAGCTGGTCCCGGCCAGCTGGGGGCCTGGGGTGGGCCCTGGTGGGTCCACACACGCACACCCGGTGAGCCTGCTGGGGTGGCCTGGACGGCCCAGCCCTGATGAGGACCCTGGATCGCGGAGGAGGATGGGGTCTCGGGAGGAAAATGGCGCTTCCTCCTGCCTCCGCGTGTCCGGGGGTTCAGGTAGGGCCCCACTGGAGGCCCAGCCGCCCACGCCCACAGCAGCGCCGCCTCCCCGCCACAGATCGCCCTCGGGTCGCTGGAGTGATTGGACATGGTGTCTCGTTTCCACAGTAACTTTTTTATTATTATTATTTAAAAAAAACTTTTCCTTTTCCTTTATTGATTTGAGAGAGGAAGGGAGAGGGAGAGAGAAACATCGATGGAAGAACGAACATCGACTGGCTGCCTCCTGCAGGGCCCCCCACTGGGGATGTGGCCCACACCTGGGCGGGCGCCCTGACGGGGAGTGAACAGCGACCTCTCGGTGCGGGGTCCCGACGGACCCCACATTAATTTCAGCTGGTTTGGTGGGTTTATTTACAAGTCACTCGGAGCCGCTGCTCAGTGTGGTGCCTGCTTGGCGGGCGCAGAGGCTGCGCAGCTGAGCGCTGCAGACGGGGCGTAGACAGCAGACACCCCCCAGTTCTGGGTGTCCGAGGGCCCGCGTGACAGGTCGCGAGGGGCCATCTGCTCCAGGCCCTCCCCCCGCTTGGGGGTTGGCGGCACCTTGGACGCGCCCTGGCTTGGGAAGGAAGCATCACCCCGTCACCTCTACGTGGTGGTTTCTCCGCGTGTGTGTGTGTCTGTGCGTCTAGATCTCCCCTTTTTATATCCACCGTGAGCCTCAGAGTCCCGCGTGGGGCTGCCGCGCCGCGGTCCCGGGGTGCAGGCTGCCTGGGGACCGGGAGGGGCCTCGAGCATGCTGAGGGATTCACGGTGCACGGCGCACGTCAACTCCAGCCGCGCTCTGTATACACGTGCACTTGGCCGCGTTAAGACGTCTCGGTAAGTGTGAGAATGAAAAGTAAAGCGTGTTCCAGTGTGAAGACATCTGGGTGGGACATGGTGAAGGTGGGCGGGGCAGTGCGGGGGTTGGCGAAGGTCCGGGGACAGGCACAGGGTTTCTGGGGTGCTCTTGGGACCCCTCCCCAGCGTGGGGGTGTCTGTCGAGGGCGGGCTGTGCCCAGCCCGGGTGAGACAGCTGTGGGCCATGGGGAGGCTGGGGCCAGCGCGTCCCTGGACCTGCAGGGACTGCTTTAAGGGTCGAGGCCGCCAGGTGGCCGCCAGGTGGCAGCGTGGACCTTCAGGACCTGGGCTTACCTGGGGGACGGGGTACACTGGGAGGGGAACACAGGGAGGAGAGCTGGCTTGACATGGGTGGGGACTGGTGTGGTCTGAGCAGACCATGGGGGGCACTGAGGGGCTTACCGTGGGGGGACGGGATGGGGGCAGGAAGGGCCCAGACCGAGAGTCTGGGCAGGTGGGGTGCGTGGGGGTTGGCACACGGGACACATGGCAGGTGGAGCAGGTGGGAGGGGTCCAGTCCTTGAGCATGTGGGGGGCCTGTGGCACTTGGAGCTGACCAGCTCTTCCTGCTAAGGGAGGGGCACTGGGGTCCGAGTCAGCACCCCGCCCTCCTGGAGAAAGTCCCGGATCCGCCAGCGGCCATGGGCCTCCCCTCACTTCCTCTCCCGCTCCCCCCTCACACCAGTGGCCCTGACCCCAGACTCGTGCTTCCCGAGAGCCCAGACCCCAGTTCCTTTTTGGGGGGCAGAGGTGCAGATTGGATGGGGTGTGGCATTACAATCTCTTGACTTTTCAGTGTTGACAGTGGTGGTTGGTTGAAAAATGGCCCCCAAAAGATAGCAGTTCCCAACTCCCAGAGCCCGAGCTGTAGCTCTATTTGGATAAAGGGTCTCTGGGTGTGGCCAAGTTACGGATCTCAAGGTGAGACCCTTGTGTCTCACCTGGTGGGCCCTGAATCTCGTGACAAGTGTCCTTACGGAGGCTGAGGGAGCGTCGAGAAGCCACATGAAGACGGACAGAGATGGGGTGATGCGGTCACAGCCCAACCTGGGGCGCCAGTTGGAACAGGCAGGAGAGAGCCTCCCAGTAGCCCCCGAGGGAGCCGGGCCCTGCTCACACCTGGATTCAGCCCAGTGGGCTTCGGGCCTCGGGCCTCCTGATGTGGGAGAGATAAGGGTCATCCAGCACGTCCTTGTGCAGTGGCCGGGAAACTCCCCCAGCACTTAGTTCACATCACGGTGAACTGGAGAGAACAAACCACGGCTGGGACTGGGCCCGCCTGGGGCTGGGTGCAGGCCCAGTGAAGGGGGCTCAGGTTGTCACCAGGCCAGAGCCCCTCAGGGACTGGCATTCCCTCCTTTGGCTTCCTCTCTCGGTGGCCAAGGCTGGTCACGGCTGGGTGGCAGGGATGGGGGCGGGACGCACCCCAAGGGGCTTCTCCACTGTCCCCGCCCGGCCCTCCCAGCAGGCCCAGCTGGCCCGAGTCAAGGGCTCCTGACCCCAGGCCTTAGTCCCGATGGCAACTGTTCCCTAAGTTTAAAAGGCAGGAAAAGGCGGGTGTCTCTAGAGAAGCAGAGGTCACTCCTGGCTCCAGGTGGGGAGAGCTCACCCTCCGTCCTGGTCCCTGGGGGCAGTGTGCTTCCAGAAGTTTCTCTGCCTCCCCTCCTTGCATCACCCCAGCGTCCCTTCATGGGGACTGAGCCGCCTGCTCTTCTGGGACCCCTGCCACTCCAGGTGACCTTGGAAACCAAGAGGCCGTTGGAAAGCCCAGCAGTCCTGCCGAGAGGTGGGGACAAGCTGGAGGAAATATTCAAGTTAGAGCACGTAAATGTCAAATAAGCAAGTTGTTTTAAGGGACCAACAACATGGAGAGTCCGAGGACCACAGGAGGGTCCTGGGCAGGGAAGCACCCCCCACAGAGGAGTCTGAGGACTCAGCACCCGAGGGCCACCCACCCAGAGGAGCCGGGGCGACTGCAGGGCCTGGGTGCCCCCCCAGGGCCTGCTCAGCAACGAAGGCCAGGAAGTGCTGTCCTTGGGCCTGGAGCTCCGCGGGGCCAGACCGCAGCCCTCTCGTCCCCTTTCTCCAGGTAAGTTTCCAAGCAGACACTTTGTTCCTCAAGGGGCCCAAGTTCCTGCGGGCATTTTCTGGAGCCGCGCACTGTGGGACCCGAGGCGGGAGGGTCAGCACCGCGGACAGCGCCCCGCAGCCGCCCTGAGCTGGCTGCCCCAGGTGAGTGCGTGCGGCGGCCAGGCTGGGGGTCGGTTGGGGATGGTCTATGCGTGTGGAGGCTTTGGGGTGTGAGACAAGGCACGTGGGTTGGAGGGAGGGCGGAGAGAGAGGTCTGTCCATGAATGTGACCTGTCACTTGGCCACACCCCACTGCCTCTGCCCTTCCTTGAAGACTAATGCCATCCCGGTGATGTAATGCTTGGGAGGTCACCAGCCCCCAACAGTTTCTCCTCATTTCCATACGACCCCCAAGGGCTGAGTCAAGACAGGGTATTGCCACGTAGGCCTACAGGAGGCCACTGGCTGGGCCGCTGGCGCAGCCCGGGGGGGGGGGGGGATCAGGGCGTGGGGGTGTTTTTCAGGTGTTACAAGGTGGGCCTTCTCTGGGAACCTCTGGGCTTGGTCCCCCTTATGGAGGGGCTGGTGGCACCACTCACTCTGCCACCACCACGAACCAAGGGACCAACCAAGGCCCCTTCCCTCTCCCATGAGGCTGCTTAAAACCGAAGACTGGAGATTGAGGGAGGCCCCCACGCGTGCCCTGCTCCACTCTGGGTGCTGTGGGCCAAGTCCCGGTGAGCTGGCCAGCTAAGGCCGGGGCCTTGGTCTCTGCCTGTGCCGCTCAGGGCTGTCGTGAGAGCCCGTGAGCCATGGATCAGTGCGTACGTAGCATGTTCCTGGGGAGGGTGGCCCACAGGCGGAGTGGGAGTCAGAGCGTGTCTCGAAAGGTCACTGTGAGATGCTGCGTCCGGATCTCCAGTGGGGCAGATATGTGATGACTGTGCCCGCTCCCATTTCCTGCCCGCACGGTATCCACTCAGGGGCATTGCCCACACCTCCGTCACCGTCCCCCAGCCTGGCCCTGGGTGGTCAGAGGCTGGGGCAGCTCCTGGGGCTGTGTGGCTTGAGCGGCATGCTGTGGGGCAGACCAGGGAGGGACGTGTGTGTGTGTGTGCGTGTGCGTGTGTGTAACAGAAGCTCCCAGGGCACCAGGGTCTGGGTGAGATGGGACAGGACGTGGGCACGTTGAGTGCGTCGGTTAAAATTAGGGTTGGAGTAGGAGTTCATGTCTCTCTTTAAAGCAGTTCCCAGATGGACACCCAGGACTGGGGTGGTGGTGTCCACCCCTCAGCAGTAGCCGCCCGCATCGTGGCCGGGCGTGGCAATCTCTGTGACACCTGGACCTGAACCCTGGGCGCTCCTCGCTTGGTCTGGAGTTCTCCCTTATCACAGCCTCCCCTCCCGGTGCCATCACACCGAATCCGTCCCCACCCGGCCTGGCCCTGCGGCTCAGACCACACGCTGCTGTCCCATGGGCATTTGCCCTTGGGTGT